AGTGACATCTGTCTGGCTAGAAGTTCAGGGATTAGTCTTGTGATTTGTAAATTTTTATTTTTTAGAAGCAAAAGTCATCTTTCAGATGAAATTGCTCTTGGAACTCTAATTTATAAAACAGTGAAAAGGGAAGACACTCTTGTTGCCACAGGGGTGGAGGTTCTGCGTGCATGGTGCCCTTGCCTGAGGGTCCACCACGCAGCCCAGAGTTCTCCCCAAGGAGCCCTGGACCTCATTCAGAGCACCCATTTTATGGATGAGGAGACTGAAGTCAGAGAGCTCAGAAGATTTGTCTGAGTTGACCCAGCTGACTAGTGACAAAGCCAGGAGTAGATTCTAAGAACGAAGCCTACCAAATTCTTCGAAGACCCCTGAAGGCCGTTGTGGTTTTCTTGTCATGTGAACTGATTTCCTAACTGCTGTCAGAGGTTGTGAAGTGTTAGGGAGTATGAATGGTGCAGAGTCCTCCTGCCAGGGGCCCGCCACAGTGAGGATAAGTGTCTGTGGCACAGTCTGTAAAGGCACAGCTCTTTCCCAGGGGCATATGGTGATTTAAAAATGATTAGTGAAGCCATTTAAACTATTTTGATGTGTTAGGATGCGTTGGGATCCAGGGAAAGCCTTTGTGGGGAGAGGTCCACCAGGGCCCCAGTCAGACCACTGCACACCTGGCAACCAAGGTGTGGGAGGCATGTGGGAGTGACACCACGTAACCACCATGAAAATATGCCGGCTTGCCTCTGCAGAACTGCGGGCTCAGATGAAAGCTGGCCTTGTGCTGACTTTCATCCGGGAGCCTTGGCGCATTCCCTTTAGTTTTGTTCTGTTCTCAGAAAGCTTGGAGTGGCTTTTAAACTTCGATGAAGATATGAACCGCTCCACAATCTAGGTTTACTAATACAGTCGTCTCTCATTTTTCAATTCATCATTGTAGCAGCAATAAACTCTATTACAAGGCAGCCCACTATCTAATCCTACAGTTCCCCTACTCTGGAGGACTTTATGGTCGAAGGGAATTACTCCCACCTCCACATGTTTAAGAGAGAAGGGCTGTCTGTTCACTCCACTGCCACCATCATCCCGTGCTGCCAGCCGTCCACACTCTGATGATTGATACTGAATGCCACTGCGAGCCAGCGCCACCGGTTCAGCCCCAGGCCAGGCAGCCACAGTGGGTGATGAACAGGGACAACTAAGTCTCTCTCCCACATGATCCTCAGCCACCTAGATCTCTTTCCCAGAGGCAGTCTTTGTTACAACATTCTTGTGTATGTGTCCAGAGATAGTCTCTGCATTTACAAATCTTTATGAATATTCACATACACACATCTGTTCTTTTATCCCCACAAAATGGTAGCATACTCTACATACAGGGCTGTGGTTTGCCTTTTTTTAATTTCACAATATATTGTGGAGCTAGTTCTATGTCAGCTGGTAGTGCTGCTTCATTCATGGCTGCATAATATTCCAATATCATCTCTTTATCAGGAAGTAGCCCGGGTGCCATCTACTTGTGGACATTTGAGTTATTTCCTATTTGATGTTGCTGTTGTTTTGTTTGCTGTCACAGACAGATATGCATGTTTGCCTGTGTATTCGGGTACTTCAGGAGCTCTAAGGGAGGGTCTTTGCTCAGTGGAAGGGAAGAGACATTTAATGTGAGGGATACTTGCAAATTACCTTCCACCGAGGTTGTCTGATTTTACAGAAGCAATGTATGAGATAACCAGTTGTGTGTTAGTAAATTTTTTGAAACTTTGCCAATCTGACAAGTGAGAAGTGACATTGCACTATAGTCTTAATGTGCCTTTTTTTTATAAAGATTCCATATATTTGTGCCTTTCTGTCATAAGTGAGCTTCTGCATCTTTTCATATGATATATTCTTTTATAGATTGTTTTTTAACTGGTGTTTGGAAGATGAGATGCTGCCCAAAGATCAAGCAGTATGCAAGTTATTTAGGAATCCCAATTTTCTGATATAGGTTTTATTTCAATTAGTTGTTTTTATCCTAACTAATATAGGGTTCTCTGTATGGTGCTACATAAGAGATCAATTTTCCTGTTTTAGTGAATGTTTTCTAAAAAATGTCCCATCGATTTTAAAAGGTTGACTTTTTACTTATAGGTGTTAAAATTTTTTGAAAGATTTATTTATTCATTCATTCATTCATTCATTTATTCTAGAGAGCCAGAGAGAGAGAGATGTGTGCATGTGTGCACATGGTGGGGGAGGGGCAGAGGGAGAGAGAGAATCTCAAGCAGACTCCCTGCTGAGCGCAGAGCCCAACACAGGGCTCAATCCCACAACCCCAAGATCATGACCTAAGCTGAAATCAAGGGTCAGATGCTTAACCAACTGAGCTACCCAGGCACCACCCCTATTTATAGGTGTTAAAATGTCTGTTTTTGCAATCTCTCCTATACCCAAAGTTATTCTGCTGAAACCAATGTTGTCTTATTAAATAAAGTACTTTATAAAATTAAAGTATTTAATTAAATTCAGCAATGACATTTATGAAACAGAAATTTGAACATCAAATGGATATTATGGAAATGTTACATTTCTTAGTTGTGATAGTGGTATTGTGGTTTTGTTTGGGGAAAAAAAAGAGTCCTTGTCTTTTAGAGATCACTACTGAAATATTTATGGATCAAATAATATGATATCTGGGATTTGCTTCAAAATAATTCCAGAAAGAGCAGGTGGAAAGGAGTGTAGAGGGAACAACATTGGTCACGAGTTCATAATTTTTGAGGCTGGACGTTAGGTATGTGTTATTCTGTTTTTATACATGTTTGACATTCTCCATAAAAATTCTAAAATTCAACAGATAAACATTAAGTTCATCTTATGTGCAAGGCTTGGTGCTCTCTGGGGCAGAGACACTTCACAAGTGCATAAGGCCTGTCTGCTTGTTCTCTGCAATGAGCCCAGTGCCTAGGACGTTGCCTGCACATAGTAGGTGTTCAGTACACACATGCCCTAAAACCTGGCCCGCCTCCTGCTTGCCCAAGGGCTGCTCTATTTTCTGTTCCCAGAGCACAGCCCTGATGCTGCACTCCATGAACGAGCAACAAACCCAGTGCTATGGGGCTAAAGGAAGGCAAAGGCCCATTCATTTAGAGTCAGGAAGGTGCTTCTGTGGAGCTCATGGGAACTGGCATTGGGGTGCCTGAGACAAAGAACATCTGCCCCATCTGAAACATTTCCAAGCAAAGCAAAATTGCTCCTTTAATTTAACGTAGGTTATTTCGTTTAAGAGCCTGGTAAGGGGGCGCCTGGGTGGCTCAGTCATTAGGCGCCTGCCTTCGGCTCAGGTCATGGTCCCGGCGTCCCGGGATCGAGCCCCGCATCAGGCTCCCTGCTCCGCGGGAAGCCTGCTTCTCTCTCTCCCATTCCCCCTGCTTGTGTTTCCTCTCTCGCTGTGTCTCTCCCTGTCAAATGAATAAATAAAATCTTTAAAAAAAAAAAAAAAAGAGCCTGGTAAGGAGTTGCTAACAGTAAGAAGAATAACTCAAAAGGCTGTAGGGGGTCACAAAACCGTCTCAGAACACATCCCAGTCCCCATCTGCTTTCTGTGAGCCTGTTTTGTTCAGAGTCCAGCATAACAGCATGCCCAGTAATGTGCTCAATCAGTGCTCTCTCGTGAGGAAGATGAGTAGATGGTGTCATAAGAAAGAAGAGAATCAGAACTGGGACACTGTCAAAGGAAATGTCAGGAATTCAGGGTGATAGATTAGTCCTGTGGGTATGTTTGAGTGATTAGTTACCTCAGAGGCAGAGAAAATCATGATTTTTAATGTTTGCATGCAGGTGTTAGTATAGTTGCCTCAGAATGAGAAGAAAAAAAGGATTTAAAAAAAAAAAAAAAGCTAGTCACATCTTGACTAGAAGAAGGCTCTTTCGAGAAACCGTCAATGTTATATTACAAACACCATTCAAATCTACCAAATGGGCCAGATGTTTGCTCAAACACTGCATGTCTCCAGCTGCCCATTGCTACAGATGAAGGCTTTTCTGCTGACGTCTGTGTAACCCACAAGCACATTATAAAGTGTTGATTCTTTTGACGCCATTTAACATTTATGTGTCATCGTAATTATAAACCATAAATATACATGACACCGTGCAATAAATAAAATTGCCTGGCTTTCATTCTAAGAGGGGAGGAGGCTGTATTTATTACCTGAGAAGACAGGATGTCTAATATCCATTTTGCATTCTTTGTAAACATCGCCCCTCTCTCGGTGGATGCTCTAGATGGCTTTATGCTCACCAAGCCTTATCCCTTCAAAACAGCACAGACTTTGGGGGCTAATAGATATTGCTGAGCCCAAGTTTTAAGGCAGGCCTGGACCAAAAATCAGGGGGATACAATTCAGAGGAATCCAAATAGTTCTAAATGAAGTCAAACCATTCTATTTGACAACAGACCAAAAGTTCTTTAGAGGTCACGTAACGGGCAGGTGTAAGTGTGAAAGGAAGTAGTTAAATGGAAGCGAATCAGCTTCTTTCAAACAGACATTTTTCAGAGAAGCATTTCTTTTTCCTTTGAAAGAAAGCTGATTCAGTGCCATTCACCTATTAAGAAGGCAGCACAATTATTTGTATCTGCATCTATAAAAACCAAGTGTCTGCTTTCCACAAAAACCTGAGCATGTGTTTGCCGGAGTGAAAAGCAGGGCAAGAGGAAGAGGGAGGGGGAAAGCCCACGCAGTTGGGTTCGTCAGTCACAAGGACCTAAATGAACTGGCCTGGCGTATTATCCCCTCCCTGGGCAGGGGCAAGGGGCCCTTCCAGTCTTATCCACGAAGACCCCTTCTAACACAGCATCTTTATTTCAGAGCACAGATCCCAGACAGCAAATTTCATGGCTTTGTAAATACTAGAGTCAGATGCTTCCTGACACCCAACGTTTCTGCTTTTTAGTGTGTAAATAAACGAGTGCGCCAAGTGAGTAAATCTCTATGCATTGAGTTTACAATCTTGTCTTTCAGAAATATCGACAGTACATGGCAGGACTTCTGGCTCCTCCTTACGGTGTTATGGAAACGGGCTCTAACAATGACAGTAAGTGAAAAATGTGAACATTTTGTATCTAAAAATTTGTCATGCAGTATGTGTTTTCGTGTGACAAAAAATATGTCCCACACCAGCTTGACAGAGTAAATCTCCAGACTCTTTCATGGATAAACAGACCTGCCAGCCCACACTTGAATTATTTCTAAAAATTGTTAACAGTATTATTTTGTGGTCCTAGCTGATCTAGGGAGGGATGCTCTGGTATCAGCTGGAACTTCATACTTAAAATACTCTCTCAAAATCTCTTCATTTTATGGTGAAATCTAGTGTTTCTGTGCTCTTTTAAAAATGGGATTTATGGGGGCGCCTGGGTGGCTCAGTTGGTTAAACGACTGCCTTCGGCTCAGGTCATGATCCTGGAGTCCCGGGATCGAGTCCCGCATCGGGCTCCCTGCTCGGCAGGGAGTCTGCTCCTCCCTCTGACCCTCCCCCCTCTCATGCTCTCTCTATCTCATTCTCTCTGTCTCAAATAAATAAATAAAATCTTTAAAAAAAAAAACCTTTAAAAAAAAATGGGATTTATGAATTGTATTTGTCTCAGTCACATCCAGACACCTGAGAGCCCCACCTCTTGCTCTTTTGATGCTATTGGTCAAGGAGGAAAGCAGCATGAGTCATTATTTATTCTTCGCAAATCATGGCCTCATCTAATTCCAGGCCTTTTATATGACCAGTCTCTCGCTGTGTTCGTAAAAGACAGGAAGTTTTCCTCTGTGATACTCTTTTCTCGTGGGTGCCCACTAGAGTCAAAGAAATCCTGCGTCCTGAGTCTGTCTGTCCGTTCACGGGTGTCAGGAGCATCTTCTTATCACTCATGACTGGCTCTGGGAGTTGCTTGTTGCTGAGTCCCCTTATTCGGCTCTCGCACGTACATGGGGGGCAGGGTGCCCAGTGCTGAGGTTTCTGGAGCAGCTAGACAGCGTGATGAACTAACCAGGCAGTGCCTCCATGCCAGGGTCTTCTAAGCAAAGAGTCACCCTTCACATCCTCTCTCTAGCTCCTTCAGTTGCGTTGAGTCTCACTACCAGACTCGCCACTCCGAGGTGACCCTCCTCCCTGCAAGATCTTAAGTGAGCTTCCTCACATTCCCTGCCCTCCGCGTCATAGTTTCTGTGTAGCCTCAGCCCTGTTTCTCTGTTTCTCTTCTGTCCTTGGGGTGGAGGGATGGGGTGGGGAAGACAGGTCTTCCTTTCCTGCCCTCCCGTGTTCTTGACTTTTCTTTCCTGACTGATGTAGGAATGACCGGCTCACGAAGAGTCCTTGAGTTGAAATCCCAGCTGTGCTGTCTCCTATCTGTATGACCTCAGGCAAAGCACTTAATCTCTCTCTGCCTCGGTTTCCTCACAAGATTGTTGTGAAGATTAAATGAAGCAAAACAGGTCAAGTGTTTAGAGGGTGCCAGGCATAGAGTAAGCACCCCCGTGATGTTAGCTATCATTTCCTCACCCCTGGTCACTCTTAACCCCTCCAAGTCTGGCTTCTGCCCCATACCTCTTGACTCAAACCATCTCCAGTGACCAACCAACGCCAGCCTCCATCATTACCATTCCCCATCTCTCTGACTTTGAGTAAGACTTTCCATGTTCAGACTCCATTTTCCCTGAGTTTCCAGGCTCCACTGCATTATCCTGGTTTTCTGGTATCTCTCTGGCCATGTTCATTTGGTCTCTTCCACAGGTACCTCTTCCTCTCAGCCAGAAGCTTAGGTATTACCCAAGAGTCCACTCTTGGCTGCTTTTCTCCTTTGTTCTTTATACTTTCCCCATGACCATCATTTCTTACAGTGGATACGAACTTCCTGAACCAATACTTCTGTTTCATTCTTCCCATGATGGCTTAGCTTTTGAGAGGACTGCTGGTTCTCTTTCCACCTGGATGTTCTGCTGGTCTCTTAAACTCATAGTGTCAGCAACAGAACACATCCTGATTCCCACAAAACCCTGAAAGCCACATTTCCAGTCCTATCTGCCCTGTTCTTCTCCCATACCAGCCTCTAAACCTCAACCATTTTATTATTTTTTAACATTTTATTTATTTATCTGTCAGAGAGAGAGTGGGGGAGGGAGAGGGAGAGGGAGAGAGGCAGGGAGAGAGCACAAGCAGGGGGAGCGGCAGGAGAGAGGGAGAAGCAGGCTCCCCGCTGAGCAGGGACCCCAATGCGGGGCTCTATCCCAGGACCCCAGGATCATCACCTGAGCCAGAGGCAGACACTTAACTGACTGAGCCACCCAGGCATCCATAAACCTTAACCATTTAGAGTCCTCCCTTCTGTCACCTCCATGCACTGAGGTTAATCACCCATCCGGTTCTTTGTTCCTTCCTTTGCAGAGTTCATGTTTTTTCCTTTCCTTTAGCCACTTGGCCAAGGACCTCATCACTCTTGACCTAAGGGCAAGAATGACTCAGCTGGCTCTGAGCCTTTAGGATCTCACCCTTGGTCCACCCTACACCTGACTTACACCCGACTTACACAGAACTTTTTAAATTTACTTTGTATTGTGAACAACTTCAAACATACAGAATGACATAGTTAACATCCATGTCTTCATCACTTTAATTACCATTAGTATTTTAATACTTAAATATGATTTGTTTATTAATAGCAATATGCACTTTCATATTTTAATTTTAATATTTGCCTTATTTCCTTCTTCTACTCACATACACACATTTCACCTCAAATACTTCGGCAGATAGTTTTGAAAATAAAGACTTTTCCATGCACCTAATAAACTGGTGTGACTTGGGACGCCTGAGTGGCTCAGTTGGTTAAGCGTCTGCCTTCGGCTCAGGTCATGATCCCAGGGTCCTGGGATTGAGTCCCACATCGGGCTCCTTGCTCAGCAAGGAGCCTGTTTCTCCCTCTGCCTGCCTCTGTCTCTCTCTCTCTGATAAATAAATAAAATCTTAAAAACAAAACAAAACTGGTATGAATTTCCTTAATCATATCATCTACTAAGTCCATACTCAGATTTTCCCCACTGAATGTCTTTATAGCTCTTTGCTCAAACTGGACCTCAAGGATCATGCTCTTGCATCTGACTTTTATGTTTTAAGGGTCTTTTCATTTTGAACAGATCCTTCCCCCTGCCCTTTATCCTGGTCATATCACTCTGTTGCTCAAAACATCTTAATGATTGCCTATTGCCTGCCATAGAAGGTGAATTTCCAAGATTGCTAATGCCTTAGCCCAACTTTCAAGTTCCTATGTGGCCCCAAATTATCTTTTCAGTGTTATTTCTCTACGGACACCCTAATCTCCAGCCACTCAGATATGGTGATTTGCGCTGCCATGTATTTATCTTATCGAAACTCCTAGAAAGGAAGCTTCTGTTACACCCCTGTATCTCCTCATACAATCAACTCCAGTCTTTTCAAATGGTCGTTGAACAAATGGATGGAATAATGAATGGATAGCTGGGATTCAAAGTTTCAGAGTGCTAATATTAGGCCACCCTTACTCCTGACAGATTTGGGAAGTGGTGGCAAACATGCCCATTAATATTCTGTCACCCTGCTTCCTGCCTAGGCTTTTATGTACTGGTACTATCCCAGTGTGGGGGGCAGAGTTTAATTAGGGAATGTTTCCAGATAGTCTCTTCCATTCATACCCTTTCTGTGTATTACACTGCTGCCTATTAAAATGGGCACTCAATTCTTTTAAAGCCAATAGTAGACATCCTGTGTACCCCCTTATTAAACACAGAATGTGCTGTTTACTCAGAATTTGGAAGTACTGTATTTTTATGTTGCAAACCACCTCAAACTGCTCTAGGGGTGAGCCGCACATACAAACCACCTGTTTGTATCTCTCAATCTCTCAATAGAAGGCCACTGGGGTCCACTGTACTGGGGGCATTAAACTCTGCTGGGGCTATGGGCCTTCCTGTCTGGCCACCCTGATCATGTCCGTCAGAGTCAACAACCCCAAAGGAAATACAGAGGACCAGGGCCTGCCTATAGCTCACGAAATGTTTGTAAATGAATGAACAAATGCATAAATGGATGAACGATGAACTTTTTCACAGAAAACTGGGATACCCCTGGAAACAGACACTGCCAGGCTCAGACCTGACTTCGGAGGCAGCAGGAATTTGCTTTGCCCCAAATGGAAGTTGTGTTCTGGTAGTTCTTACGTGGGACTTGAAGCTAGGTTCACAGCCCTGGAGCATGGTGAGGTGGTCTGAAATGTAAAAAATACAGTATGTGTAACTTAAGATTTGACTTGTCTGTCCCTAATTCTGAGTGTTCTATGCCCAGCAGAGAGGAATTAGTTGTTTGTATGATGTAAATGAATCAGGGATGGATTTTTACCTTTGGCAGTAAAGCATATGGTAGAAAAGCAAAATAAGCATGAGATTTTGTTATCTGGCACACAGCCCTGCTCCTGATTCATTGATTTATTTATGTTACAGATTTTGGTGGGTGCTGCTATTTTTCTAAGCAGCATTATGTAAGTTTTGATGGAGACACAAATCAGAAACACCAGAATTTTACTTTGTTTGATTCAGCAAAGGATTTCAGTTCCATTTTACAGATTCATCTTACAATTCATGCTCTCTCTCTATTTTTCTTCTTCTAGGGATTCCTGACAAGGAGAACGTGAGTAGCACTCTCTCTGCCTAGCCTCTAAAAACTGTCATAAGGTAAAAAAAAAAAAAATAATCATGGTAACCCTACCAGCAAAGAGAGCTCTTCATCCACATCAACAGAGCAATAAATATTTTTCTAATCTTATTCTGGCATCTTGGTCTGTCCCTTTGAAATATGAGGGGGAGAAGGTTGATTGCTCTGACATGGTCATCACATGTCCTTGATATTAACTAGTCTGCAGAAAGGTTATTCTAGGGGCAAACAGTACAATTGCTAAGGGTTTTTCTTTTTCCCACGATGTATGCAGGCAAGTGAGCAAATCATTGCTTTAATAACATACAAAATATTAGTTGTTTTCCCTTAGTGGAGTACAAAATATGAAATGCAGGGTCAGTTGATTTTATAATTGTATCCAAGGTTCATGAAAGTCAATGTTTCTCTTTGGAAGCTGAAAATAAGTAATTGCTCTAATTGTTTAGCACAGTCAGGTAAGAGAGTAGGTTTAGAACAAACTTTTCACCAAGAACCAGTGCCAAGTGCAGGTTCCAGGTCCCATTGCTTTGCTTGCAAATAATAAGAATATGAATTACATATTAACCAGAATCTCAGTCTATTCAACAACCTGGAAGGGTTAATGGTGGAAGAGTATATAGTGATTAATTTGAGGCAGTGCTTGGTGACTCTCAGATGCCTCCCCTTTCATTATGTTCCTCGATTGCTGTACCCAAGTGGCAACATTCATAGAATCATTACCGAATATTCTCCTTTCCTTTCCCTGCTTTTGGTCCTATGTCTGTGGACAGAGATATCGTCTTCATTCAATTCAGATTATTTCTGTATCCCTTTCCAGAGATCTAACTCTAGCTTTCTTTGGGTCTTCTTCTTTTTATAACGTTGGCTTCAAAGGCTGGTTGGGATTCTGGCCCGTTGTTACACCACCACAAATTTGGGTTCCAGACCCAGCAATGCCACTTTGAATGTCACATCAAAATTTCACTTGGCTTGGCTTGGCAGAGGATTTCAGTTCTTGGCTGTGGGCCTTCACAAGCTACTTGGCTTCTCGAAACATCCTTGCCTCATATTTAAATGTGGGTGTTAGTCGTGACCACCTTAAGAGGCCATTATGAATATTGAATGGAATAATCTGTGGAAACCATAGAGACTAGTCCAACAGAGCTCAGTAAATGTTAAGACTATTACTGTAATTATTATTTTGTCAAGACTTGTATCATTTTCTTGAGATCTTTCCTCCTCTGAAAAATGTCCTACCCTTTTATGAAGTAACTATCCTTTTGCCATTTATGGTTCTCATCAAAATACCTTTCTTCAGTGAACCTTTCCATTGATCTTTTGCCATTAAAAAAATATCTTTGTGTGTTGAGCAAAGCTCTAGATAATCAGGTTCATGGAAAGCCAAAGCTTTAGAGTCTACAGTAACAGACTCATCCTGCCACGATTTTGGATACGGATGTCCCAAAGCACTCCAAAACAAATAATACACAGATCACTAGCCAAGTCAAGAGGATAAAAGAGCTTGGTGCTTCCTCATCAAGGAACCATCAGTGATGTGGAGGGCACACACAGAATGGCCAAGCCCTAGGAGGTCTAAAATGTTCTAAGCTTCAAAAGAAAGCTCTGTCTCTCTTAGGTCCCTCGTGACCTTTAGGTTGGACCTCCCTGCAGAGGGACAACATAAGCAGAGACCTACCAGCTGTCATCCTGTGGCTCACTTTGTGACAAAATAGGAATCTGAAGTTTACAGAAAGTTATAGATATGTTGAGTTGTTATCAGCATGTTGCCCTGTAAGATTTGGGGGGGCAGGCTGTCTCCCCTATATTATTCATCGTGTATGTTCATTTCTATTTGTTTGGGTCATTCATTCTGTGTCAGATTCTCTAGCAAACAGAAAAGCACCCTTTTTCTCTATCAGCAAATAGAGTGGATATAATGTCACCATGTGCTATTAAGAAAGTTCTCCAATGCCATCAGTCAAAGTAAAGCAAATGAGATGAAAGACATTCGTGAATAGAGTTGAAGCTCTAGAAAGATAAAAAGAAGCCTAAGAGCCTTAAAATGGGTGTTAATTGGAATTTTTCCTTTAGAAGAGACAAGTTGTGTTATGATGATTTCTTTTATCCTTTACCTTCTTTAACTACACGCTGGGCAATCTTATATTCCCTTTATGTTTCTAAATAGCAATAATATACCTGTGGACTGAAATAAAAGCACTTAGATATTGTTTCAGTGTCCAAACAGCTTCTTTGTGGAGAGAATATATTCTCCTCTCCAGCTCCTACTCTTGATTTCGTTAATCACCATGTTTAACTTTTAACCAAATATGCAGGCGTCAGTAAGTGGTGTTTTTAGCTGCCTTGCCAGCTCTCTTTTATTTCCAGATGCAGCCTCACCTTGCAAAAAAGGAACTTTCTTTTCATAAATTGCACTTTCATAGAAACAAATGGGCTGGCAGTTAACTTGCTACATTATTTTGTTTACTACTTACTGTAATTGATAGAGACATCATTTAACTTGATATGACACAGGAGACTGGAACCTATAAACTAATTGGTAAGATATTAGAAAAATGACTATTGCACCAATAAAGCAAGTTTTGATAGGGTTATGATTGGGGCTGTTGGTTGTACAAATAAATTATTCTCTTTGATCTTTTCAAGTTATATTTTTTCCATCTTCTGTATATGCCCTATTGGATGACCATGTTTAACACCGAAGCTAAAAATCACAATTACAAGAAAGCTTCATAGTTGAATGTTACAGTTGCCCTTTGGAGGAATGAGCTTGTCTATAATTTTCTACTACTTATATAGATTTTGTTCCTTGTTGTGCTCCATCCTTTTGACAGACGATTGCTACTGAAGTTATGTAGTTTTAGAAGTCTATCCTTTTCTTCCTCAATGTAGAAGGGCCAGAAAAGAGGCTTAGGAAGATATTACAAAATAATCCCATTTCCTTATTTATAAACATCTAGTTTCCAAAAGGATCATTTTTTTTAAGGCAGTGATAGTATTGACAGTGTAATTAGGTCCCCACTAAGTGTGGAAGAGTACTTTCTCAATATAAAACACTAATTAATGCAGTAATTCAATCAGTTATGGAAACAGCCCAAGTGTTGATGGACTGATAAATGCATAAAGAAGATGTGGTGTGTACAGACACACAGACACACACACTGGAATATTACTCAGCCATAAAAGGGACTGAAATCTTGCCAGTTGCAACATGGATGGAGCTAGAGTATAATGCTAAGTGAGATTAAGCCAGAGAAAGACAAAAAACATACGATTTCACTCATACGTGGAATTTAAGAAACAAAAGAAATAAAGGGAAAAGAGAGAGAGAGAGAAAGCAAAAAAACAGACTCAGAGAGAAAAACTAATGGTTACCAGAGAGGCAGTGGGTGGGGGGTGGGTCAAAGAGGCTACGGGGACTAAGGAGTGCACTTGCTGTGATGAGCACCGGGTATTGTAGGGAAGTATTGAATCACTGTATTGTACACCTGAAACTAATATTACACTGCATGTTAACTAACTGGAATTTAATAAAAACTTACAATCAATTCAGAGCTCAAAGGTTTCCTAAGCACTAGAAGAACTGGATGCTACCAATTAGTAAGAGCAAGCTTGGGAATCTTATAAAACTATTTGGTAGGTCTTATTTTAAGAAGATGACTTAAATCAGCAGTTTGTCAAACTTTTAAAAATCATGGGTCATTTATATAAAGACTAATTTTTAGAAGTTATTATAAAGACAGATTTTAAATGGCAAATGGGGAGGAAATAATTTACACAGCTTGAAAATTCTCATTAAGGAAAGGACAATAGAAAAAGAAGAAAATAACTATCAGGGTCAAAAGGTTAGGAATGTTAGGCATTTTTAGGAAATATAATAACATTTATTGCTGCTCTTTTTCAAGATTAAAGAAAACAAATTAAAATATTTCCCACCTATTAAATAACAACATCTTATTTTACTATTATACATTGGCTATGATTCTGGGCCAGAGGAAGGAAACGGAAATTGTGTGTCCTCAAACAAACTTAAAATATAAAAATACTTAGATAAACCCACAAAAACCCCATAAAACCTTTTAACTCCAGCTTTAGAACACCTGCTGAATTCAAACCAACAGTTTCTGTGAAACAGTTCTTAAAATCCTGCTTTTAAAACATGACTGATACACGTCCAGAGCTTATCAAGACGTGTTGGCCAGAGTTCACAGGCTTAGCCCTGGCAGCCGATCCCGTGTGTTGTAGGGTAAGGATGGCTAGCTAGCCCTGTCACCGCGATGCAACAGCTCATACGAAGCCGGCCGAAGGCGCGAACCTCAACAGGCAAGAGCAAATCAACCCAATGTGAAGGACAGAAAATCCTAAGCCTGCTCATTTCGATTTTACAGGACACACTGCTTATCGCCCGGGTGAAGATTAGGTTTGGCAGTGTGGCTGGCTCCGTCCCTCCTGTTGGGTAGAGGGTCAACACTGGTTTCTTTAGCAGGCCTATGGGAGCACGTAGCTCAGTGAGCCAACACTTTGCCCCACCTCCTGAAGAACACCAGCGACTTAATGTCGAAGGTGCCAAGGACAGCTTCGGCTCGGTCTCTGAAGAAATGTTTGTTTTTGTGTTTGTGAGTTATGTATTTTATGGGGCAGAATGCCCTTGCTGAATCTCTTCCTGCTTTTTATTCCGTCTGTTCCCCTGCTCTGTTATAAAAGCTGACGGTGCCATCTCTCTCTCTCCCTCTCTCTCTAGCTCCTGCAGTGGTATATTGATTGAATTTTTAAGAGGAGGTATAGTTGCCCTTAATCTAAATCGTGAATGGTAAATGTGGGTAACAGTCTAAAAACCTGATCCCTTGGGTGTCAGTTAAGCTATGTGGTTATTGCCTCTGAATGTTCTCGGCAATGTTCCCAAGATCTGCTTACCGTGAGTTTGCTGGGTGAAATGGCACATATTGGGGTCTGTTGGGGTGGTGGTTCGTTAGTATTTT